AGGCTCCCGTTTAGCCTTACTCCTTGTCCAACTATCACTACCTAATAATTCACTTATTTCATTTAAAAAAAAAAGAAGTACCTATATAGAAGGAACGTGCATTTTACTATTCCTCCTATTTCACTGGAATAAATTCGTAAGTTTCAGTATAGAATAATTCCTTTTGCTTTAGTATAGTTCTTAGAACGAATTTCTCAATTTCCTTCGACAACATTATACCGTTTCATATGAATACATACGGGAGAACCCCTCAATCATCCCAATCATTATACAGAGTGATTCATGCTTATTGGTTTCTAGAAGTAACAAGGAAAAAGTTAAGTAGTACAAATTCATAATTAAATCATCACTTGAAGTAAATATTTCCCGAGACGTTTATTTTCCTCGTCATTATAATCATCATTTACCATGTAATTCAAATTCATAAAAATAATAAGAATGTTTCATTAGACATTAAGTCTTCTCTTACGATCAATTCAGCCATTTTTCGAGAAGCTATTCGCGACGAGCGAGCAAAGAAACGCGAAAGACGATAAATAAACGAAAATCTGCTTTTGTCTCGTCTCAAAGTCCGCCGCGATTGCTGCCTCGAACGTGCAACGTTCGAGATCATAAATATTCATGACTCTACGGTGCGAATGCCGTCGTGCTTATTAGTAACATCCGTTCCGTGCTACCGGCAACTCCCTAAAACTATTTACTTAGCTTCTCCAGGCGATGGATCCTTAAGACTATGAACTACTGTATTCAGCTTTGCTGGAGAACGCTTCCAAAAATGACTTTTTAATTTAATATTTTATTCGCAATATTGATTAATCATCGTATAATTGCATTAGTGAGTAGATTACAAAATTCATGTGATCTTTAACCAATTAGGTTCCTTTCAACTGCCAACTTTCCAGTAGCGCAGAATAGGTAGGGCTTTCGCCAGCCCTACCTCGAATCATAGAATAATGAAATGTCGTGTGACTGAGCGGGTTTTGTTATCGATGTTTGATCGAAGAAAAAAGAAGTGTGATATTGTAGTGAAGAAGATAGTGTGATTCATAGTCCGAAGAAAGATGCGTGATTGAGAAGAGTACGTTTGAAGAGAGTACACATCAGCGTGTGAGTGGAGGTAGAGAGAAAGAGGATGGTACGATTAGAAACAGAAAAGTATATTATTATATATGAGATAAACGAACGTATTGCGCTACCAATTTTATCCTGCTCTGGAAGATCTATTCTTTATCAGTCCCTATTTATTGGACAGACCTATCTGCGATCAAGCGAGTCAGCGGATCGAGACACAGGAACTACGTAAGTAAACGGAACGACTGAACGAACGAATGTCGCGCTCTTAAAAATAAAGACAGAAGAGGAATCTAAAGAGTAGTCTGCGAAACGAAGGAAACGACCCGGTACAAAGTAAAAGCGGCACCGGGGATAAGTTTACGGCGATTCGAGCCAGGACCGGGCGATTTGTTCGCGGTCCAAGTTTGAAAGCTCGTGCGCTCGAGCCGAAATGTCACGAGCGATACGAAATTAGTATGTGGTCGAGGGCCAATTAGCACTTCCCGTCGAGAATACCACCCCCGGAAGACAGCACGCGAGGGACGAGGCTGCGGGACACGTGAGACCATGGCCAAGGCCTCGATCCTCTCGATCGAGGAATCGTTTAACCTCCGCGTCGCTTACTTTCCTCGTTCCTTTCAACGAAATCTTGCAATATCGAAGGAAACATTCATGTGTATTATAATCCTGTTTAACACGTTCACGCCGGCGTGTACCACCGGTGGCTCACAGTAAGATATCACATTAGACAGTGTTGGCTCATTAGACGGAGTGTAGCATGAAATATGTGGCTCGTCAAGTGGTTTGGTAATTAGAAAACATTACCATATAGTTTTCGAATGAATTTACTTATTGATCATTTCAATATTTTTATCAATTTTGAGAATTCAGTCGCCCAATGGGAAAGAGTGGAAATTACAGCGCCGGTGTGAACGTGTTAAACGAAATTCTCAAGGAATGCCATTCTACAATCAACAGACAGATCATTCAATCCTTCGCCCTGCAACATCAAATTAAATTCTCAAGATCTAAAACTAGAAACAACTAAATTCCACAAATGTTCTTCGATACGAACATTACAATATATTCATCGCTCCATCAAACCAACTGCTAAATCTCGAAATTACAGCCAGCATAACATCAATGTTCAACCTTCAAAACAAACACATCTACAAATTCCCCAGTCTCCGATCAACACACAACCTCTTTAACTATCAAAGAACCTAGATTAAAAGATTAATATCAAATTCCCGAGACGTAGACACACGTCATCGGTACCGAACGCATTAACCCCATGATTTACTTCTCAATTATGATCGACATAACTATTTCATCGTTAATAATTCATCAGGAAAACGACGGATCGTTATACTTATTCTCTCTACGTTTACTCCGAAGGTGAACAATTAATAATAGAGAACTAGTATCTAATTAATATCCGAGAAACAGTAAATGCATTCATCAAATTCAGTTTTCAGTGCCGCACACTTAATTATAAAATCGTGCCCAGAAACGCAGTTCTTTTTGACTGGTTCAGGTCATGAAAAATCGTAAACAAAATCGATTTACATGTTATCTAGACTGTTACGTCATTTTTGTTCGATGTATTATCGAAGAATAAACAAATAAATGCATTAGTACAGTCCGTAAAATGGACGGCTATAGCCGTCGTCTTTCCTCGCGAGTCTAACGCGGTGTTACAAGTCAAGGGGTTAAAGTGTCCTCGCAGTGCAGAGTTGAACGTAGGCGGAACAGGTGCGAAAGAGGGGTATCGGTGACGGAGTCGCAAGAAGCGGCCGGTCGGTCACGTGGCCGAGGAAGGTTTCCGATTTTCCTGTAAACCCGAGGCAAGAAATCTCGGCCGCTTCATTCATACACCTATCAGTCGGCTGACGACCGTCCGAGCGGACAGTCGCTCGCGAAGCGCGTCTCGTCTCTCGGTGTCAGCGATATATCGCGGGTCAGACGACCCACGGGATCCTTCGTTCGCTTCGATCCTCGCTCATTTCTATTGGGAACGGGACCACGGTCACGTCCTACGTTCGGTTTCGTGAAATCGGCCGGTCCGTCGCGCCTAGAATTCCCCGCGACGAGATAACGAATCGAGTGAAAGTCCCGAATCGAATAATCGAACGTGAAAACGGGCACCGTCGAGCACGCGCTCGGGTCTCATCGTTGATTCCGGTGAACTTCGACCCCCCGCCGTACAGTTCAGCCGGTCATCCAGCGTGCTTCTCGTTATCGCGAATTTTCGTTCCTTGATTTCGATGATTCCCCTTTATTTTCGGTTCACCGGGTAAAGTGGAAGATCGGGAATCGATCCGAACGAGTGGACAAATACGTTAATTAAATAATCGGTTTCGTTTGTGAAAGGTGAGGATCGACGGGAATCGATTTTATGCAATGGGGATTCGAATAAGTTTACTGGATTTTCGTCGTAGTCTTTGGTTCGTTGAGATTGTTCAGATCGATTCTGTTTTGCGAACTTCGTCCCGTTGGTAACGTTCAGAGAAATTCTACTTTGTTTCGGAGTACTATGGAAATGTGAATTCGTGTAAATATAGACGATCTAAATATTATCTTCGAGCCTGGCGGGAAGTTGTGGGATATCAAGCTTCTCAGAGACGGTGGATGAATTTATTGGAGCTTCAGGGATTCACTCGTGAGAACCGATTGTTGGAGTTCGCGATCCGCAGATTGAAAAATACAGTTCGCGCGAGAGAGGTCGAGGAATTTTTCGTTTAGACTACGAATTAACGTGTTCCTCCGGGAGGAGAGAAAGTTTTTCTTCCGTTTCGAATCGGCGTTCTTGATTTTCTTACGCGGGAGTTATCTTCATAGACCACGCGATCCTTATTACCTCTCGTTAATTAAACATTTCAATACTGACCTTCGGTTCGACGCAGAATCAGCTCGACAAGTCCGTGCCATTCGACGATTGTCACGACAAATTGGAAGAAACAGTTTATGTGCCCCGTCGTAAATATTTACGCAACCGCAGAAAAAAGAAGTCCATTACCGTTCACCGTGAAATTAACATTGTACAACACAATACCGCGCGGATCTCATTTATCAAATTTTATATCCGCTGAAATAATCGCGAGCCAATGATAAAAATAATCACCGCCGCGGACAGACGTAACTCGACACGATAAACAGAAAACTTGTCTCACCCCATAGAAACGTACATCGGTCCACTGATTATTTCATTGACTTTATATCCGAATGTCTTGTATATCAAAATTATTATTCCCTATATCTACTTAAATATCAATCGAATTAATAAAAACGACAATCAGTCATAGACTCATCTTTGAACAAAGCAAAAATCTTCTTTTTACCCCATAAAACCATCCCGCGGTTCCTCTCGATCATCCGCGGAAGTGTCCGGCACCGTTCTCTCCCGGGGGACAATTTTCGAGCTGAGCGTGCCAGTGGTGGGGGTTTGTTTTCCTCGGCATCGTTCGACAGCCGGTGAACGCGGTCTCTCGGCGTTCCGCTCGCAGCGGCGGGCGTCAGTCCGTCTCCGGAACCGGCGAAGCGGTCTTCTCCGAATCCGCGTGCGCGTTTCCTCTCCGTTTCTCTCGACCATGCTCTTTCGTCGCCGTGAAAATTGGACGATCGCGAAGCTGCACCATCGCTC